TACATAAATGTTAAATTATATATATTTATTAAATGAATAAATATATAGTCTACTGACTGTCTACATAGATGACACTTTTACAATAGTTTACGTTGTTTACACGTAAACGTAGAGTATTATATTTTACGCGTAGATGCACAACCCTGTGCACAATCCTGGAATAAAGCCCCAGCAGTTTCTAGAAAAGTGGATTTAGCACGGACACGCACCACAAATTGCATACCCGCGGTGCAAGAAAATGAATGTTGCTATGTAGTTTACATTAGTTCTTCAGGGGGCGTTAGTGCGCAAGGGCATTTTGCGATAACAGGGAGAGGAGGCCGTCAGCCGTCATATCATGGCTGCACTAGTTCACAGTTTATCTTTCTCTTTCTACATTGGAATGAGAAAGATAAGCTCTGAACTAGTTGCAGCCAGTTCAGCTGAAGAGAACAGATCTACTGTAATCGGCGCAAATATGGCTGCTTCCTTGATCGGAACGTGTACGAAATTCAGGTGATTATTTCTTATTTTAAAATTGATTTTAAAGATATTAATGATCAAAGTCGCATCTTCAAGATTTGCTGCGCAGTATGTGTATTTTGTTACGACAGCATTGTGAGAAATTCAAATATACAAAAGAAAAACATAACCTTGCACTGCAGTGCTATTAATTTTCTTAATTCTCTTTAAAATGTATAAATATAGTGACTTGACACTACAAAGGCTTGGAAGCGTTTAATTGACCAATCAGAATAAAAAATTTTATGAATGATCATCAATCGAAAAAAGCTTTAAAGCATTTTTAGCGTTAAGTAAACTACAACCCTTACTCCAATAATTTGTATAAGTTACGTTATAAAAGATATTTTTTCTGTATTAATGTTATTACAATTTGCAGTTTGCTGAGGCAGCCACTTTGTGAAATTGTCAAAGATAATAACGTACGGAAATATATCTTACACAGTTCGTTCCTCACGTGCACGCAATGCCGGCGTTATCATACAACACCACAATATTTCAAGAGCAAGCCAAAGAGGGTAATTGTAGATTTTAAAAATGCCGTTGAATGTTCTATATATGAGCATTTATGTTTTAGATATTATTATATTAAAGTTAAAAATTATTTATAGCAGCTGAATGCTTTCACTCAACTCAAACCAAAAAGACATGTGCCAGTTGTGAATATATGGGCTCGAATGACAGTATCGGAACTGGCAACATCTGCTGAAAGGGATATAAATGATGTCGTAGACGCAATTTCTCTGTGTGATTTAGTGACGCGTTACAATAAAAATACTGTTGTAGAGGATCCGCATGTATTGTATAATGCTGTGCGGAAACTTGGGGCAAAATTCAAAGTGATTCCTAGGCCAGACAGCAATGTGGAAAAGAATACAAAGGACTGCGATGTTGTTAAACGGTATTGATGCTAAAACTAACAATATCAGTTAAATATGGAATAATAAAATATGTTTTGCACATGTTCATACTTTTACATTTCGCACACATTTTATTTACTAGGCCTCCACCGGACGAATCTGTACTGATAAAACGTCGTCCAGTAGTAACAATTATGGGCCATGTCGATCATGGCAAAACTACGTTGCTTGACACGTTACGTAACACGTCGGTTGTGAAAACGGAGTTTGGTGGTATTACTCAACACATTGGAGCTTTCAATGGTAATAAAATAAAATAAAATAAAATGATTATTTATCATATAATTTATCATAATTGAGTGATGAGTTTATATTCATTATATTAGTTGTGTGCATTAATAAATTTTCTCTAAAATCTCGATTAATAGTAACATTGAAAACGGGGGAAACGATCACATTTTTGGACACTCCTGGACATGCTGCTTTTAATATAATGCGAATGAGGGGCGCACAAGTAACTGACATTGTAGTATTGGTAGTAGCGGCAGATGACGGCGTGATGGAGCAAACCGTAGAAAGTATACATATGGCAAAAGCCGCGAATGTTCCGATTATTGTGGCTATTAACAAAATCGACAAACCGGAAGCCGACATTGTACGTGATTTTAATATTTATTTTAATTTTTAGAATTGTTCAAAAATAGATCAATTACATAGCATGTAATGTACGTTTTCAGACAAGAACGCAAAAGATGCTTGCACAACAGGGGATTCAAGTAGAGGCAACGGGCGGGGACGTTCAGAGCGTTAATATATCAGCTTTGCACGGAACCAATCTAGATATCTTGACAGAATCTATAGTATTACAAGCTGAACTCGTGGGATTAAAGGGTGACCCGACAGGGTTAGTCGAAGCT